TGCAAAACCATACTTCTGCCTCTAAAAGTAAAAAAGCACAAAGTGCTTTAGAGGGAAGGACAGACCCATGAGCTTCATCCGACGAGACATTTCGCTAAGATGTTTGACCCCTAGACTTCGCAAAAACCAGCACTTCTGCCCCTAAAAGCAGAAAAACACAGGGAATCTAGTCTCGAGGAAAAGACAGACCCATGAGCTTCATTTGACAGGACAGTTTTGCTAGATGTTTGGCCTCTAGACTTCGCAAAACCCAGTACTTCTTCCCCTAAAAGCAGAAAAGCACAGGGAATTTAGTCTTGGGGGAAGAAAGAATTATGGCTTCAGGCAGCAAGATATTTTCGCCAGAAGTTTCTGGGTGTCGATGATTATACAAAAACTTGCTTAAAATTTACTTCTGGCCATTCTACTTTGCAAAAACCACACTTCTTCCTCTAAAAGCGAAACAGCACAGATAGCTTGGTTTCGAGGAAAAGACAGAACCATGAGCTTTATGCGACAAACATTTCCGCCAAGGTGTTTGACCCCCTAGACTTCGAAAGCGGTACTTCTGCCCCTAAAAGCAGAAAAGCACAGGGAATTTAATTTCTAGAGAAGGAAAGCCCATGAGTTTCATCCGACAGGACATTTTCGCTAGACGTTCGATTCCCAGACTTTGCAAAAACCGCAAAAGTCAAAAACCACACTTCTGACCCTAAAAGCAAAAAAGCACAAGGAGCTTGGTCTCGAGGGAAGAAAGAATTATGGCCTCAGGCAGCAAGATATTTTCGCCAGAAGGTGGGTGTCGATGTTTTATTATACAGAAACTTGTTTGAAGTTCCTGGCCATTCTACTCTGCAAAATCCATACTTCTACCCCTAAAAGCAAAACAGCACAGATAGCTTGATCTCTAGGGGAAGAGACTCATAAGCTCAGCCACAAGATACTTTCACTGAAAATTTCTGGGTGTCAATGTTTATTCTACAGAAACTTGTTTGAAATTCACTTGTGGCCATTCTAATCTGCAAAAACCGGACTTCTGCCTCTGAAGGCAGAAAAATGGTCTCGAGGGAAAGACAGACCCATGAGCGTCTTGCGACAGGAAACTATCTTCTCTGAAAATTTTGGTCTCTTGAACTTCGCTAAACCACACTTTTGTCCCTAGCAAAAACAGGGAGGTTGGTCTCGAGGGAAGAAAAGACTCAGGGCTCAGGCGGCAAGATATTTGCGTTAAAAATTTTTAGGTGTCAATATTCAATTATAACGAAACTCTGGAAAAATTACGGCCCCTTCTTCTCAACCATACTTCTGCCCCTAAAAGCGGAAGCATAAGGAGCTTGGTTTCGAGGGAAGGGAAGACCTAGGGTTTTAGCGACAGGACAGTTTCGGTAAGATTGTCCTTCAAAAGAAGGCGTTGGGCCAGCTTTAGTCTATTTCTAAGAAATGAGCACGTTCACTGGCAAGACATCATCGAAGAAAATGCTGCTTCGTTTTTATCTACATATCTGAGTTTTCGGCTGCTGGAAGACATAACTTGACGCTTCCTCTAACATGGCACTTTCCTGGAAATCAATCTGAGTTTTGGGATGAATCAGCTGTTCTAAACAGGTGCTTGGAGGTAGCTTCCTTGTTTAAGAGCTGTGGTATCTGGGCGAAGGTATGTGCAAGAGGAACAGCAGAGATGCTTTGCGGATAGTCACTGGTAGTAGCTTCTTTTGCTAAGAGCATAATGTTTTGTTTCTACTGATCACAACACAGGAAAGGTCGCTGGGAAGATGGAAATTCTCTTTCTTGGGATTTTTAGTTAATTAATGGCGGATATCAATATATCTGCCCCCACCCACTTACTAGCGACCCGTAGGGTCGCTAGTCTTATATATAAAGCTGAATGTCTGTTTGTCTGTATGTCTGTCTGTCTGTCTGTCTGTCTGTATGTATGTCTGTGTGTACGTATGTTCCGAATAGAAAATTCCATTTCTGAACCGATCCGGACCAAACTTGGCACACATACACTACGGGCCCCGGCGGGTGTCATAGGCTACTTTTCGTCATCGATCGATATCGATTTTATCGATTTTTATCGATTTTTTTGCTGAGTTCACCTACGGGGCTGGGAGTTGGCACAGGGGGGTAATCGAGCATGGGGATTCCGAATACAATATTGGTTTTCAGGATTATCGATTACTTTTATCGATTTTATCGATTTTTTTGCAAAGTTTGAGCTACGGGGCTGGGAGTTGGCACAGGGGGGTAATCGAGCATGGGGATTCCGAATACAATATTGGTTTTCAGAATTATCGATTACTTTTATCGATTTTATCGATTTTTTTGCAAAGTTTGAGCTACGGGGCTGGGAGTTCGCGCAGGGGGGTAATCGAGCATGGGGATTCCGAATACAATATTGGTTTTCGGGATTATCGATTACTTTTATCGATTTTATCGATTTTTTGCAAAGTTTGAGCTAGGGGGCTGGGAGTTGGCACAGGGGGGTAATCGAGCATGCTGATCATCCCCAAGGGGGGTGATCAGCATGCTCGAACACCCCTGTGCCAAATTCCAGCCCCCTAGCTCAAATTTTGCAAAATCGATAAAATCGATAGAAGTAATGGATAATTCCAAAAACTAATATTGTATTCGTAATCTGCATGCTCGATTACCCCCCTTTGCAAACTCCCAGCCCCGCAGGTCAAACTTTACAAAAAAATTGATAAAATCGATAACAGTAATGGACGATCCTGAAAACTAATATTGTGTTCGTAATCAGCATGCTCGATTACCCCCCTGTGCAAAATCCCAGCCTCGCATGTCAAAATTTACAAAAAATCGATAAAATCAATAAAAGTAACCGATAATTCTGAAAACTAATATTGTATTCGGAATCCCCATGCTCACTTCCCCCCTGTGCCAACTCCTAGCCCTGTAGGTGAACTCTGCGAAAAAATCGATAAAAATCGGTAAGATCGACATCGATCGATAACGAAAAGTGGACTGTGACACGCGCCGGGGCCCGAAGTGTATGTGTGCCAAGTTTGGTCCGGATACGGCGGAGCCGGGTAAGCCAGCTAGTCTTATATATAAAGCTGAATGTCTGTTTGTCTGTCTGTCTGTGTGTGTGTGTCTGTACGTATGTTCCGAATAGAAAATTCCATTTCTCAACCGATCCGGACCAAACTTGGCACACATACACTTCGGGGCAGGGCGGGTGTCATAGGCTACTTTTGGTCATCGATCGATATCGATTTTATCGATTTTTTGCAAAATTTGAGCTACAGGGCTGGGAGTTGGCACAGGGGGTAATCGAGGCTGATTACAAATATATTATTGACAGGCCCGGGCGGAGCCGGGTTTGCCAACTAGTTCCATATAATTATGCAGTGAGTCATTCCACACTAGACACTTTGCCGTCCCCACTATGCCCACATAGCCGCTAAGCCGATGTGGAATACAGATTCGTAGTCACCGTTTTATGCTGCATCTAATGGTATGCAGCTTGTTTGGATTGGCCACTTCGATTTCTATGCATTTCTTGTCGGCCGTAGTAGTATCTGCTACAAAAACAGGATGAAGACGGCAAAAACAGACATTGTGCGGTGCCCCATATGATCTGTGAAAAGACTAGACTGTATTCAATATAATATGTTCGTTCGCTAATAAATCCGCTCATCGATATGTCCAGTACGTTGTGGAGAAGATGATGTTTGGTCAACTGGCCTTCTAACGGAGGCGTGTGACCGCAGACTTTTTGGTAGAGAGAAAGTGCTCTAGACTCAGAAAAAGTGATATTGTCGAAACATAGACTTAGAAACATACCACCGTAATAGTCCGAACTTGGTATAAATATCACATAAACCTATCTGAAGCTCTTTTTGAACTGTCTGCATCACTCAACAGTGATTTTCAAGTCACTACGTAAATTTGTTTGGAATGAAGAAGGGCTTATTTTAATTTTCTGACTGAACCTTCAGGATACCGTTACTTGTCTGCCAGAGTCATTGTTTGCAGCGTTTGCTGTGAGTTTAAAATTCACCTTTTCAAACCATCAAGCAAATGCTATTTCAACTTTCTTGCTTTTACTAGAGTGGGTGACCAGATTTGCTCGGTTCCTGTCAACATGAGCACAACAATTCATTGTTCCTGCTCAGTCCAGTTTTGTCATCGGCGCCCATGCTTTTGGCAGCGAATACTTATAAAAATACTCCTTGCATTCTTCGATTTGCATCACAGCATATTGCCGACTTTTGAATTGGTGGTGCTCGCTCAAAAACGATAAGCTTTCATTTTTTTAAGATGTAAGCAAACAAATCGATAAGTCGATTTAAAGGCAGTGGATCGGCAAAATCCAACAACTCAGGATTTTAACGCGTTAGGTTCCTTATCGCCCAAGTATGAAAAAGTGAAATTCCGGTTGCATTCCCTGCATGCTTTCCCTGCCGAGAAAAACGCTCTCAAACTTACACGCGCAGGCCAATCTTACACGCTCTGGGCGAGTTGGCAATTTCCTTCTCACCATTGGAGGCTGTCCGCCGCAACGCTATAATCATTGTGTCCTGCAACGATTTAGCGTCATCGGCCTTGTTTCACTCGTCCAGTTCCAAAGGGAAGGGATTAAAAAAGGCTTATTTTCGACGTTTTCAAGCTTTCAGAAGTGGATTTTCGGGATTGCATTGAATAACCTCAGGTAAGCGCAAATTTGACTAGGTTGAGATTTCGCGAGCCACTGCCTTTAAGGGTCCAGTAAGTCGTCGCAAAAAGTAGCCCATAGTGACCATAGTGACCTTCGGCTCAGAAAGATATGCGCGCAAATTTCCAGCTCAATCGGTGCACGCAGAACGCCTTTATTGGTTACATTATAGGTTACAGGCCCACAGACAAATCAACAAATTTTCTGCTTTACATATGAAGAGATTTGACTACAGTCTGCCCCAATTCCAACTAGGCCAAAATTGGCATGGCGGGAGTCCACGTCGCCAGGATTTCGCGGTCACAGCCACGGCCTGCTTCTCTGCTCTCTCTTCAATCCTTTTGCTCTCTCCAACAGCGCGCATATGCAGCGCAGACCGCTAGCGCTGCGAGCGCGCAAATTTACGCCGACTGTTTGGCCTGATCTGATTGAGACAGACTGTACAAAGCAGTTTTGACAGCTAAGGGCGAAATAAAAACGTTGAAGGACTTTCATACTTGCGAACTTTGAGAAATCAAACGTTTAACGCTAACTGCAGTTTATACGGAAAGCTCAAACACATATCATATTGCTGACAAATCCTCCCTCAGTTGCTTGATCTGCGATTTGATCGCGTCCTCTTCGAGCTGGAGTGAATGCAAAATACGGTAAGCTTTTTTGGAATTAGCTTGTCAACATACTTCTTTCTTCTTCATTTTCGCTTCTTTTTCTGAAATATCCAGGTTATTATTCACTTCCTCAATTTGCTGCAAGTCCTGTTTGACTTCTTGATTGGCGGCCTTTTCAACCAATTCATTCAGTTTCTCTTGATGCGCGGTTTTCATGCTTTCCACCTTCGATTCATATCTTTCCTGTGAAAATCTATGTCATGAAAGAATGTGGATTATAAGGGACAAACCTGAATACTTTCAGGCTGTTCATGCAAAATTTCGTCAAGTTTTTCCTTTTCTTCAGAGCTGCAAAGCCATTCATGGAGAAGAAGCATGGTGCACAAAAAGTTACCGTATTATCATGTCGTTCTTAGCAAGGTTGTCCAATGTTCTCTTGTCTTTCTCATTCTCGACTATCTCCTTAAGTTCATCTAGAAACAACGGATCGTAAGCGCAAGCAAAAGCGGTCGCGATAGCTAGCAGCACAAAAATTCTCATCTCTGAAAACTGAATCTTAAAAATGCTGCGCAGCTTCATTGAAACTGAAGTGGAGTGCAAGAGATGAAATGAGAGATTCTACAGAAAACTCAAGGAGTGACACCGGACACGGCATATTTATATCACGATAATAATTTTATAACATTCAAATTGCAGAATAATTGCGGATAATAAAACAATAATGTTTCATGGTTTGAAAATCATTGCACGCAAACATCAGCGTTCGCGGGCACAGGCTGGGTTGCCAGAATAAATTTGGGCTGATGCCGCTGTAACATCTGGGAAGAATGAATTAACTGCGAGAAAGTTCTCAGGATTTTCACGCCTTCGCCTTCTCTTGTCACCAAGATTCTCACAGGTTCCATAAACCCACTTCAGCAAGTTCTTTGAAGCGATAATAATAGATGGAGGAAGTCATTTGAAAAAACCTCGTCTCCATTCACTTTTCCCACTGAACAAGGTGGTATGCCCTCGCCCAACTTGATCGCTGTCAATTATAGTATGATGAAAGTCTTCATGTCTCATATATAATTTACGATAACCCTCCCTTTCCTACTGCCCTAAATGAGCAGCGAGACAAAATTCTTCAATAATTTCTGGCACTCACCATGTCGCAAAAGGTTCATGTGATAGGTTCAATCTGGATTTTTGCAGAAAAGGATTGTCTGAAACCTAAACTTAGACATAGGCATACAAACACACATATAACTAAGTCGGTGAAAATTCATAATGCATATATTGCAGTGGCGGTCCGAGGAATTTTTTCTTTGGGGGAGGGGGGACAAAACTCTTTTCCTCATGAAGATGGAGTCAGCCATGCCCTTGGAAAAATTTAGGGTATGCTCACAAAAATTTTGCGGTTGTACCAACCAATGTTTTTCTTAAATAAAATGATCAGAGATTACTTCAATTATTTGCAAGTGAAACAAGTCAGTTACGGAATTTCTGCAGTTAATTGACAATTCATTTGATTGCAACTCTGAAGAGATCCTCACAGTCAAAAACCAGGTTTGGAAGAAAAGACAAAAACTATTGGATATATAGCATATTTTGTTCGGATATTGCACTTGATGACAAACCGATAAAGGGTCGTGCATACATCCGATTATCGCCTCGCAATCTCAGCAAGACAACTGTGCCGACATTGTCGGCACTTCCTCAGTCGTGCCATTACTTTGCAAGATTACCGTAAAGATCATGTCATAAGCATGATCTGTTGTGATATGAGTGTGTGTTCATTGCTCAATGAAGCTCTAATGCTTTCGTATTCTATGTAGCACACCTATTCACCTCAGGCTACTGTAAAGCCTAGGAACCACCGTTACATTGTGTGCCGATAATATCGGCACCTTCTTTATTGTACGATGCCTGCTGCCAAAGTACCGTAAAAGTCATGCCATAAGCACTGTTGACCTGCTGTGATATAGTATGTTTACTGACCAGATGCTTATTAATATACATCGTCACGCCTATCATAGTTGGCATTCTACCACAGCACCCACATGTACTAGTCGATTGCTCATAAAGCTCTAATGCTTTCGTGTTCTATATAACACGCTACAGAATGCGATATTCGACTCAGGCCTAAGCCACACCTCACGCAATTTCCGTCGCTGCTCGATTTCGCACCGAAGGACTGTTCGTAATTGGTCGTTACTGCCCTTTGTTCGAACAAGAGCTCATCCGTTTGTAAGAACTTACAAAAGCTACGCGCCTATGCTTTTGAAAACCGTCCACGACGAATTTGTGAAAATCTGGCAAAACGCCAAGTCGCGTGAACGTCGCGATTTGGACAAATCGCATGAGGTATGCCTTAGGCCTTAGGACTCGGGCAGAGTTCACGCGATTTGATCGTTGCGATTCAATCACTACGACAAGTGTTTCGAGTTCATTGCATGCCGATCATCTTGTATTTGTTGTAACCAGTGCGTTACCTCTGCTTCGCAGAGGCACGCACTGGCCGTTTTTGAAAGATGAAAATTACGTGGAGGTGCATCATTCCCAGTCCAGTAAGCAATCCCAGATGAAAATGAACCTCCCCTGTCGTGCTACTCTCACATACTTCAGAGCAATGTAAATCATTCCTTACTATATTTTCGTAACGGACAAACTCCACACAGCCTCAGATTAAGCGGCTTATTATGAGTCATGATAGTCACGATCAGTCGTGTCGAAAAACTATCGCAACAGAAAATGCAAGAAGATCGGCATGCAATGAACTGGTAACAGTTGTCTTATTGGGAGATTAGCGCCATGAAATCGCGGTGACGTATGCCCGGTCCTTAAAGGCAGTGGACCCCCCCCCCCCGCCCTCCACCCCCCCCCCCTCGGTACGCCACTGCGCTTTACTAGATATCCACATGTTGATTGCTATAGTACATTGAAAAATAAAGGCAGGGCTGAATCTTGAAGGCCGTAGTTCTAGGGCAAGTATAGCCTGGGCTTGTCCGGTATGACGATGTTATGGTCGTTCTTTTTTTCTACCATTCCTTTTTGAATGTTTTTTCTAAAGGGAAATTTCCTTCGTGCTTCTTATCGTCTGCGCTTGATGGCAATGCGATTAGAATGATGCACTTATGTGCCATAAACAATTAAGAATTGACAGCAAGAATAGCCGGAGAACCGGATATGACTGATGATAGCAGTCATAATACATTCCAAACACTTTAGCCAATGCTTTACCGAACATGCATCACATAAGCAACAAATCCTAGTTCGATGGTCTTTACGCATCTTCTTTGCGCGGCTTCATGTCTTTTTCCTTTCCCTCATCGCTCAGCTTCAGTTTCAGCTCAAAGAAATCCGTTCAACATCCAAATTATAAAAATGTCGTCGACCCTACCTCTTTTATCTCTTCTTTCGCTTTTTGCTCAGAAATACTCATGTCGTTGTTGATCGCCTCGATCTGCTGCAGGTACTCCCTCACTGCCGGATTTGTGGCTTTTGCCATTTTCTCCTCGAGCTTCTCTTGATGTTTGAGCTTTTCACGTTCCACTTGCTTCGCGTAGGCTTTCTGCAAATTAAAGAAATATTAGTTACGCTCATGAAACGGCCAACCTGGAGTAGATCAGAACCAACCTTGATGTCCTCCGGTTGTCTGGCCAGAATCTCATCAAGTTTCTTCTTTTTGTCGGAGCTGTAGGGTTATGCAGATGAGTACTGGAGTAAACATCTTCAGAGGGTATTACCGAATCATGGTCTCGTCTTCTTCGAGCTCCTCAAGTTCATTCTTATCTTGCATGCTGGGAACTAAGTCTTCGAGTTCGTCGATGAACAATGAATCGTCTCCATGACATAGTGCCGCCAAGAGAATCGCCAGAATAAAGGACCTCATTTCTAAAAGTTGCTAGTTAGTCATAGGAAATCTTCACCTGTTGAAAGCGGGATTGAACGGACCGAAACTGGCAGGCTTGTTTGGCAGAGAAGCTCAAAGAATAACACTTATCCAAGAATGATGGCTTTTATACCTACTTGCTGAGTGGATCATGGCAAAACACGCCCGTGTGAACAAACTTTGTAAAGCGCTGAAATGGGTTTGATCAATGATGAAATCCATTTTTTCTGGGAATGTCGATACTGCTGATGCTAGCTCTAAATACCGGTTTGATGAGGTCGCTCACTTTCGGGTGAAAATCATTTTGGTTTTCAACAGTAGCATTATCAAGGATCTTATACGGTGAAATAAGTGCAGTGCCAAATTCAACAATAGGCGTATATACATATATCAGCCCTATCAGCCCTCAACCAAACATTGGGGTCTGAGGTAAGAAGAAGCGCCTTGCACAAATTGTACGTTCGACAAACAACTTTAGAAACGTTACAGTGGCCAGTGAACTCAACTTATCGTTGAATCTGAAGCCCAGATCTTTGATTTCAGCAACTTTACTTGGATTGGTTCCATCAATTCTGTAGAATGAATCTATTATCTTGCCTTCCAATGACGTCACTTTAGTTTTGTATAGAACGAAAGGTAGTTCAAAACCCTTAGACCAACGAGAAACCGAGTTGATGCAAGACTGCAGTGATTCCATGTCAGAAGAAATGCGTATGATTTTGTATATTTTTGTATATCATCTGCATGCACCACACATTTGCAAGCCTCAGCTTCGACGATACTAGGTAGTTCGAAAGTATAGATTAGAAAGAGAAGGTGACAATGCGGTCTTATTAAGCGAATAAGTTTTGGGCTGTCATAGGGAGGCTTTTTGGGAATCGAGATCGCTGTAGAATGTCTCCACCAGGGACCTCTCCTCTCATCTAAGAAAGATTGAAGAGAAACTCAAGTGCAAAGCCAATTTCAGGCATCACTTCTGACAAAGTACAAAGGTACACCATCAGGAATAATAGTAAAGGAGTCTGGACTTAGTAAAAATGCTGACAATTTTGTTGTGGGGAACCAAAGAATTTTGTCCATTTCCGAATATAAGGGAGAAGAGCACGAAGAAGCGAGGACAAGGTAGTGACATAAGCTTTCTGAAACTCGTTATCCAGTAGATTTGTCTTATCTGTATTCCGTGACAGAAGATTACCTGAACTATTCACTAAGGATAAGAGACGAGATTATCACAAATATGTGTTTTTATGCATCGAAGAGATCCATTTGAATTGTTGATCAAGGTTATTCTTCTCAAGATGAACGTAATATTTGTTTGAGGCTTTCATAATTTAATTTTCATAATTTTCTTATTGATGTGCACCACACTTCGCACCTCCACTAGCAACGACCAAATTCCAGAGACAGTAACGCTTCACAGTCATTTTCATACACCTACAAGAAGTACACGTCTATGCCGCAGGGCGCTTCCAGCTCACTTTTGACAAAATAACAGCAAGTTTAGAAGAGGATCAGTAGCTGAAATCCGAAATGAAACAAAACAAACTTTAAGTTTTTCCTGCTTCTCTTATCTAGTGAAAGCTTATCAATGTCCGCCTTGCGGTTTTCCCTCTCTAATTATTCAAAAAATACCTGCAGAATGAAACAAACTAATCTCCCTCAAGAATTAAAAGCTTATATTAGGTTCTCTCATAACCTTCAATATATACTAACATTGTTTAGCATGCTTTCTTTAATGATGCAGTTTGGGTAACCATTCGACAGAGCAAAGCAAGCTCTACAAGATGGCTTTCAAGGGTCACCTCAAACAGTACTTCACTTAAAGTTTGCAGCTGATATCTGATAGTAGTTAAAAAAGAACTTTAGCGTTAAAATTCGTATCTCCATCCCAAAACAACTTGAATTAAACTCTAGCATATGCTTTAAACATAGGACAATCAACTGCACACTTTCCGTATCCATCTAGAAGTAAAGAAAAAATTTATTGAAGTAAAATGTCAAACTCCGCCCCTAGAAGTCCTGAGTTCTTCTTTACACGTAATTATGTACATCATTTAGAAATAAATTATGTATTTGTGCCTTTTGTACGTGCCCCAGTTTTCGAGAAATGCTGGTTTAGAGGATAAAAACGGTAAAAAATTGTAAGACACCAATAGATATTTGCATTCACGTAACGCAGATCACAGTACGAGTTAAATTCGGTCGTTTGCAAAAACTAGGGTCTCTTCTTGAAGACGCTCTATTTGCAAAGTATGTTGTAATGTTTTTGTACATCAAAGCTAATTTCTCTCGCCGTGGTGACGTTCTAGCGTGTCTCTTCCTTTAGCCCTTCTCATATGAAGTTTGCGAAAGAATGATAGAAGGAATCGGTTTTGAGCTCTTTAGAAATCTGTCATATTGACCGTTCTTCTTCGAAAGCTCAGGCAGAGGTTTCCTTTTTTTGAGCATCTTGATATCTGAGACTATTGAGTGGGACTCCAAGAAAGGCTGAAGTACGAAGAAGTGCAGCTTCCTAAGACTGTTATCACTGACTTGAACTTGGCATGTCAACCATACAGCATTTCCGAGCGAAGTTGCTAGGCATTCCACAATGAAAACGAAGGAAGCATTTGATATTTGGACCGTGCCAGGCTCAACTAAAAATTCAGTCTTATGTTAGTCCATGTGAACAGCTGTACAAACACCATGAAAATCCGCTTTCCCTTGAGTTTGAACGTTTCCCACAATGCAGATTTGTATAAAAATGTCATTCGATTGATGGTTTGCTGATTAGATTTCGAGCGTTTCACAGACTCACAAAATGTTTGAGTCAAATACGTAGAACCAGATCGAGATCTAATTATTATACTTCTGCTTTTGAGAGAAAAAGTAACATAAACTTTCTCTCCCAAGAATATCAGTAGCACGACTGGGACTCTCCTAATTCACGCTCCCCTTGTTGTATTACGCTATGGTGCCTTAATCAAAAGGACATTGTCGAAATTGCTGTGTTCTTGGTGAGGAAAATTATTTGCATAAAGTTTTGTTGAGAACAATTGTAAATATACAAGTGACGGATCTGAATGTGGAGGGACTGGCAGGAGTTGAATCTAGTCCAATTTCTTCAATTCTCTGAGCTGCGAATCCGTCAGTTTTGATTTCAACTGAAACACCGAACTTAGGCATATTCAACATAAGTAGCATATCTAAGGTTGACCTCTTTTATTTTTCTTTTCGCGTCCCCGTCCGAGATATTCATGTCGCTGCCGATCACTTCGACTTGTTGCAGGTAATCTTTGACAGCTGGATCAGTGGCTCTTGCCATTTTCCGTTCAAACTTTGCCTGATGTTTGAGTTTTTCACGTTCCACTTCCTTTGCAAAAAGTTGCTGCAAATATCAATGATGTACAACCTGATTGGCAGGTTATCCAGCAAATGAGGTAGAGGCAAAAACCTAAACAAACCTGAATATTTTCCGGTTGCCTGGACAGAATTTCTTCGAGCTTTTTCTTTTTTTCAGAGCTGAAAGCTTCCTTTAATCATTAAGGGATTGAAGTGTGAAAAAAATTACCGAAGCATATTCTTATCATCGTCAAGCCGGTCGAGCTCAATTTCGTCTTGTTTGTTTAGAACTATGTCTTCAAGCTCATCGACGAATACGGGATCGTAAGCATAAGCGAAGGTGGCTACGAGAGCCAATACGACGAGAGTTTTCATTCCCTGAATCGGACTAATGAGTTTCGCAACGCCTTGTATAGAACTTGTAAAGAATTAAACAAATAAGATCTGTACTTGGTATAACCACCGGATATGAAATTGGGCTATATATCATGCCTTAATTCACAAAAATCGCGGAAAATGTCCAGTTGTGCAAATAGTATCAGGCGTTAGAATGACACATATCAATAACGAAAGTCTGTTTCTCTCAAAAATTGCTAATGATGTTGTTCAAACAGACCATGTGAAAATACCAGTTCAGCTATGAGTCATTTTGTTCACTGATGATTGTGCGATGGTACAAAGGGACACGTGCACGCATCGCATGAGCTTGTTGATTAAAAAAATTGAAAAGACTATCCAGAGACTAATCAGCCCAATACGGAGCTGTGCAAAGGCTTTATCTACATTAGCAAGGATGTCTGATCGCATATGACCAAATGATAACTAGAAAAATAAAATTTAGACCAATATATAGTGTGAACTTTTGATTTTGTCAGAAGTTAGGGGAAACGTAAAAATATTAAAGTTGTAAATGATGCTATTTAGATTCGTCAAATGATGGTACTCTTGGCACGAGTCTTTTTATTGGCTGCTGAAATTTGTTAGAACTGAAAGCTACGCTTTTTCACCTTTTTTGTACCTCGTACTGATCTCATGTGTTTGTTAAATTGACCACATAAGTAGTAGTGCAGTACATAATGGTTGCACATAGTTTATGAATAAAATATTAGGTTGTTACATAAGTTTTGTTACACTCAACTGAAAAAATCCTCATAACTCTGTCAAATGATTTTTTCTTATCTCCAAACTATGTGTAATGTGGCAGAATTTTGATATATACATGTCACACATAAAAAATCAAATTTTAAAATTTTTTTGAAATTTTTCGAATTATTTTTGGCAAATTTCCAATTTTGGATATTGAAGAGCTTGAATTTCCAAACTGCCCAATAGTTACTACCAATGCTCCTAGAAATTCATAAAAAGTTGGAAAAGAAGGTTAAGAGATTTTTTAGAAAATAAAGAAAAAATTGGAAGTTGGAGTGCCTCTACAGAGTTGGCTTTATATTTACTGTAAGTCATGTGGTGAGAGCTTGAATGGTGCCAGCGGATAGCCCTTTATCTCTTCTCCTTATGGACCAAATATGAGACCTCTCCGAATTTTCTAGAGTTTTCCAGAGGAAGACGAAAATAGTGTAACAAAACTTATGTAACAACCTAATACTTTTTGCCAGAATTAATCTTATTTGTCCAAGTGATTGCTTGTGCAACGAGATCAGCTCCACAAACTTGTACTAATATGGCTTCATTTGGTCTTATCTTGAAGGTTGTAGGCTAAAAAGTAAAAGACGAATTTGGTACAAAGATAAGGGTGAGAGCCAATTTCTTCCTTGTTGTCACGAATTCAGACTTTTTTGCCGGTACATTTTTGCCTTATTAGCCTAAATTAACACTGCAGTGTAAGAAGCATAAAAAACACAAACAACAAAAACAGATGCGTTTTGGAGTATTTATTTCTCAAACATGTAGTGTTAGGCAGAGCTTTGCGCTAATGGTATGAAAAACTATCTGATACACAAGTGTGACAACTGCCAAATAATTTTGTCAACACACAAATTCGATAAATGAAGACCTTATGAGGAATTTCTATAATTCTGGCAGAATAGAAAGAACAAGTACAGCCAGCTGTAAGCACCGGCGATGAGCGACTTCTTCGGTGGCATCGATCGAAACTCCACAGTGAAAGCGAATGACTGTTTATGCCACGCTAAAGGACTTCACTATCTCTGAAAATGAATATGCTTTGTCTCAACAGAGATTCAGGAATGTGCATTATAATAACAACAAGCACTGACACATCTTCAAACAGAGCAAATGGTGTCTAAGAGATCAAAATCCAGTATAGCTTGCTCTGCGCTTTTTCTAATTTATTTTCGTGCTTGGTTTTGCACTCGCATGACTAATATAATAGTTTGTTGCGACAATCCAAGGTTTACAGGTGCAGAAACGACTGGTTGGTGGTTTACTTATTTTGCATCTCCAGTAGAGACTCAAGGGTGACAGCTGTACAGTTGGGTAGATTTTCCGGCTATACTGTGTTTGCGGTGCCGAGGAAATGCTGTAAAATTTGCGCGTGAAATAGCCCCGCCAGTAATTCCTGCATGTTGCAGGCGTACCCAATTGTTCACGCGCAAATTTTACCGCATTTTCTCGGCACCGCAAACACACTATACTAGGGAAAGATCCACTCGAGTGCTTCTCATATTAGTAGTGGGCATATAAGTTCGGTTTGATATGCAATCGGAATTCTATAACAATTCGAGTAGCAGCTATTTAGCTGAGATTTTTTCACGAGGAGATAATCTCAGGCCTCTACTATCACATATCAGATACTCAGTAGTTTCCGTCATCAATAATTAGCAATTATTCCCTTATATGGCTGGACTTCTGAAACTTCGCTCTTTCATTTTCCAAGATTCGTTCTCAGTCTACAGTGAGACAGACGACTAATTTGTTAATTTTATATACAACTTTTAGCTAATTTGCTACTTACGATGGAGTTTGTAATCTGCTGCCAAAAATCTAAGAATTTCCAACTTTGTGCGTGAAGTCTCTTTTTGGGCAATCAAATCGCTTGAATCTGACCATCTATAATCGTGCAAACTGCTGAAAATATCAGAATTTATTTTGTGTGGATGGCAGTTGTGCATTTTACACCAACTTCAGTTCGTTTTTCGGAGCATAAGTTCTTGAAAATTTGGTGAAAAAATCTAGCTATTTCGTTTTCCTGCAGAATTTTTGTTGTCAAAATGGCGATTGGCGCAAAACGGAGTTGATCATCCGATTCTGCTTGATTTGCTCACTTCAAAGGTACCATACATTTTTACATAAATCAATTTGTGAAAATTTTACAAACCGTTAAAAATGACCGAACTAATTCATTAGCCAGCCTAATATGTAGCTTGTATTTCATTAGGCCATTTCTTGCATGTTTCAATCCCTTGAGAACCACGAAACGACGACAGAGCGTATATGGGGATTTTATGAATTTTTGACGGAATGCGTGAAGATTCTTATTACTTTAGTAATCTGCGGCTCTGGTTATAGAATCTTTCCCCATTTTGCACATTCACAACCCAACTTGTTTCTTCAATAAAATTTGAAAATGTTACGTTTGAAGCAACAGTCTACAATACAGTGCTCAGTTTTTGCCAATGAATGGTAGACTAAATAGCATCACTTCGAAAACATTTACAAAGATCTCATGGTGTGAGGAAGTGAGGAATTGCTTTCACTTCAATAAGCATTGTTTGATTTTCAAAGTTGTGCTAATTTCTACCATTCATTCAAATTTTTCATTTCAATACAAGTCTGGTGTTTTGCTTGGAAATGTTTCATCTAGCATAACATCACTAATCGAATTCAGCTACGGTGAACTCAGAGTTGCCACGAAGGTACAGTACCCAAGCTTCTCCACAGCAGGTAATTTTAGTAAGTGATTCCAACTATTCCAACTCCGGAAGCGGATCAACAAAAGCATTTTTTCCATGAAAATGTGGAGTCGTGATGTTTCTAGTCACAAATCATAAAATCTATTTTCACACCAAAATTATGTTGTGTGCACTCACCATCTGACTTCTTCACATTCTACAATATCTATCAATATCTCACTTCATTTATGCTATACGGACGAAAGTAATCGTTGACTTGGTGGCTCAGATGTTTACTTTGAGAATATAATTGGATTCTGAACGTAGCAGCTAACTTATTCCCTGCGGATTCAACATTAATTTGGAACAGTCCATGCAATTAAGGCAAATCCTTTCCTTCTGCAAGATAGGATCTTACTTTGCGCGTTGAAATAGTAAAGCTCCAGATACATAAGTGATGTTTGCCCACATTCTGGATGTTTTTCCACGATGCACAACTATGATGGTTGTAATTGTCCATCGCTTCCACTATAATGGTTCTCATCAAAGTTGTGAATGCATTACGGGCTATTCACGCTTGACGCTTAGTTTATTTTCGCTCGCTAATTTTAGAGAAGCTAGTAAGACCGTAAAAAATTTCCTAATTTCGCAATATTAGAACAATTCTTGGTTCTTCTCTGTATCTCTTTAGAGTTGTGGTTGAAGTTTAGAAGAACTGAGTTCTGTGGATGCGATTGCCCCTTTTCCCATGTAGTTCTACCAAGCAGTTATTTTGCTACCCTTTCGTCATTCTTCAAAGAAAGAAGTGTCCTCCTTACTCAATATTCTTTGTTCCCACACGAACAAAAAATTGCCGGAAACTCTATCGTCTGCAGTTTGCACATCGCGACATGTTTCAAATAGTTTTTCCGAGTTTTCATGAGAGGTCTGAAACCTTCAGAAAATCAAAAATCACAGTATTTTTATGGGGTCATTAAATTCTTTACAAGCGAAAGGGTTATGTTTTGAATTTAGAGAGTAGTAAGGATTAACAGGGCGTTTTTCCGTATCCGCAAAATCCTTGGTCGTAATCTGCTTCTTTTACCATTAGACTTGATAATGTAAACAAGCTCATACCACTTTCCTGCCGTAGTTTTGGTTTGGAAGTACGCATGATTTTCCCCCTGATTTCACAAGTCCCGACTTTAGACAATAACTGTCCAAAAAATATGCTTTTTTTCATCTTTAACTTGCTTCACTCCTGCGTTGTTCAAAAGGTTGCGGATTTCCTAGTCTACCTGCAATGGGGTAGACAATCCAGGAAAGTCTAGGGTAATAAATGAACAGACTAGTACTACATCTACTGCGCAGATGAAGTGATAGAATTCAGCTGCAGTAGTGTTTGTCGTACATTTCCATCACAAAACCACCTGAAATTGTTATGATTCTGTTCAATTTTGGTCACTAGAACGCTTTTAAAGTTTGTTCTATCTGATGTCAGTGAAAAGCAAGACTTTTTGATTTCAAAACAATCTTAAGGTACACGCGGCCCTAGCATTCTAAAGCATTCTTAAGCTTTGTGTATGCGCTGAATCCAAGCCCTTGCAAATCTTCGTAAAGTTGTGAGAAAAAATCGCTCAATATCATAAGGAAAAAAAGGACATCACAGGATATCTTCAAAACTTAGTAGTGTCAAGGTAAACAAGCAAATGAGGTAACTAGGTAATCAACACCTTCTGATTTAAACAACTTTTACATGATTTTTAATGAAATCGAAAATGATGCAAATGCTCATTTAAGCACCACTAGCTTCAGAAACTTCTAAAAATAGTGACTAGCTCCTCATAATAGGAGTGGATACATATGATAAGATATTTGAGAGCATTTCTCGTTTTTACTTACTAACCGCAACCTATTGAGGGGAATTTAGCTCTCAGTCAAGAATTCAGTACGGTATTTCCCAGAATAGGTATAATGAGTCGTTTTTTTTTGTGAATAATTCCAAATTGCGCTCATTCGCATCATTCTTCTCAAGGCTATAGGTTGGCTCTCATTCAAGAATTCAAACCATTTTTTTCTCGAGAATAGGCAGGGCGACTTTATTCTACTTTCGCAAATGATTCAAAATTCATCTTTTTCGCATCACTTTTCCCAAGGCTATAGTTTGCACAGTAGCGCAATGCAATCTCCCATCTTCGGCTCCACATTCCGAAATTTCACCAATGCAGTTAGTTAACTCCAGTTTGGACGGAAGCGGTGTTGCCCAGGGCTCGGCACAGCTGGCATCGGGTCAAGCCGGGTATCGTTTTTGGGACAAAAAACAGGGGGTATCGTTTTTGTGGCCGAGAAGACACAAAAATGGGACTTTTTTTTTAAGTAAAAGTTTCGCTTTTTCGAGGGTTTTTTACGTTTAGGGTTTACGGTCGAAGGGGACTCTGTAGGAAAATTTCAGTTTCAAAGGAGATTTCGCTTTGAACTTCCCCTGGTGCCGGTTCGTGCCAAGCCCTGATATCGCCGGTTGCCGCAGAACTGTTGTGCTGATTCATTTTGAAGCAAAATGCATTTGCAAAAACACTTTTTGGATCTTGTGAATAAGCACCAGCTTATCTTCTTCTTCTCCTCCTCCCCCTCCCCCTCCCGGCCATTCAAGTTTCCCCACTTAAGCGCATTAAGAAGTTTGCTGTATCTACCGGATATAGCGAATGCACTTTGCTGCAAGATGTTCCTAAAATGTTGCGGCTGGGGATTTGTGACTCACTCATGTCTTTGTCTCCCACTCCAAATTATAGTAAATAAGCTTAGACTACTGAGAACCGAATCTTGCCTTAAATGATGGCTATTTTTCAAAAATTAGGCCAGGTATACCGTAACAGCTTTTTTCTAAATGAAAATAATTATCATAACATCTTAGAAACTTCGAGGAAAATCTTTTGTTTCAATCTAATATTTTCAAATAAACCATCACGGACTAGAAATGGCGATAGAAATTTCATTTTTTTGCCAAAGCTGCACTGACCTTCTCCAAACAGGTAAATCTGTAGAACAGAATTATAACCACGAATTTTTGGTCGCAGGCAATAGTTTTTGAGAATCAATTTCGCGCGAAAAATCCAAAAAAAAAACTGCTTTTCGTGTTTGGCTTATTGGTATATATCTGTTACTTGATTTCTAACCATAAAAAAAATATAATTTGCGGAGGTTGTAGATGTAGAGAGTATGTGTCTGAGCAAGTAGGAAATTCGTAGGTAATTTTTGAACAGAGATACAATATTTTCTCGACTATTTCGGCATTTATATTCTTATTTGGCTTAGAGTGTAATGCAAACTTTGAGCAAATTTTTGGGCACTGTCTTATAGAGCTTGTTTTGCTTGGGCCAAAGCAATGGTACCATAACCTATTTTTAGGAACAAAATGGACATTGAGGGAGAAAAAAAGGTAGAAATTTCAGGGAATTTCTAATTTCAAAGCCTTTAAGCAGATAATATAATCCGCATAATGACAAAATACATTTATAAAAACTGAGTTTCCAATAACAGACTCCTCTTCCGATATTTCTATGAATTTTGATGAGGCCACCTACTGCATTTTAATGAGACTCGGCTGCATGTATATATTCTTGTCATGTAAGTGATGGTATTTGCGGAAAGTATTCAATTTTGCAAGTCATCTCGAAGCCTTTGCATAAAGTTTGATGCCCATTTAAGGGCTTTCTTTTCAAATTTCCCTTTCATCAGCACGTTACTTGCTAAATTTGGTGAGTCATCTTTGTTGTTGCTTCACCTCAACCCATTAGGTTCATCATAATTCTTGCGCCAAAATTTCTGAAGTTCTGTTACTTTCTCCAACTTCAATGAAATCTTTTAATTTGATACCTAAGAGAGAGAGGAACTCTTGTGCTTTCTGCTAGTGCTCAGTTTCGAAATTTCTTGAGAGCACATGATAACGATATGAGCTGATTAAGAGAAATACCCAAAAAGTAATTTTCCGATCTTTGGTCACTAGAATTGCTACTACTAAAATTACTAAAAATTATTGATAAAATACTAAAATTCAAATTTATTTTTGTTCTTGGATTGATGGCATGCTCTTTTTGACTATGGAAAATTGGTAGTGATTTGATATCTCACGAACAGTTACGAACTTCGATTTTTCAAAATTGTCCTACTTTTGTTTCATATCGAGTTTCTAGTCTATAAGATACCACTTTTGATATACGCACAAAGAGCATATTCTTTCAATTGATTAGTTTGTTTGGGCATTTTTGAAACAATTTTGTTCTGTTTTCTGGTGCAAGGATTGTGCATCAACTTAATAATTCCTGAACCACAAAATGTTTCCATTTTCATATACAAACCAAAAGGAGACAAAAAGTATAGCTCTACGCTTAGGGGCGGAACAAGTCGGCTACTGGGTAATATTCTGCGCGGACGTAGGATTCACAAAGTTATGCATATGATGAATGTTTGCTGGGGTACTCTCATAATTAGTTTGTCATCGGCTTACTTCGTTGCTGCCTTCACCTCTCATTGACCATCATACCATATACTGATTGAAAAAATCCAAGTTTTTTGTTTAGTTCTGAAAAAATCCCGCAATTCTACTTTTACTGACCATATTCGCCTTACGTTCAGATATCCTCAAAAGGAAAGGAGCATTTCCAAAATGGTAAAAATCTATTCATGATATAGCATATTTTGAGGGTTCAAAGACGAAAGAGGTGCTAAATGCATGTGCACTTGTAAAAGCATTTAATTGCTTCTCCATTAGCTTTCCTGAAAGCTTTTAGTTTTCGCTCGTCAGTGACAAGATGACGTTTACAGTTTTCGTTTTCTTTGCATTACGAACAAAGACGCTAAATTCTGCTCGTATCACAATTTGCAGGAGCAGCTATGATCATCACAGCTAAGATAGAATTGGAATAAATTCATTTATTGTGATATTATAGTATCTATAGAATAAAAATATTTCAATGAATGGTTTGAATAATTTGATATTTATTATGATAATTTATTCTCACTTATCTACACATAGAATATTTACTCTTTCATATACTCTTTCTTTTGATAACTAGCGAGGCAATCGCCACATTCTCAGATATTTTTGTGGATCTTAAATATTATTCAAATATCACTTTTGTAATTGTTATTCTCCCGCTACCTTTATTTCGCTAGCTTCGATATATAGGTAAATATCAACTTTAATTAGTTTCACTAACAACTCAGGCATTTTACTCACGTAAAGAAAGGCTTAATCTCTACAAGCGTGTCGATTTATCATGCAAATCAACATATGATATAACGCTCTCCCTTTTTTGCGTTCTTCATCATCCTCCCTTCCCCTCCCCCATTATTTCTTGCAACATTCTATTTTGAAGCAGCTTTGTCATGAGTAGAGCAAAACCTGACTAGCCGCTGTGAACGTCTAGTTCCGCCCCCTCAACTATGTGCTTAACTCATCGTCATAAAGCACGAG